CCCCAAAACCCCAAAACCCCAAAACCCCACAAAGGATTAATCATGTTGAAACTTTGCCAAAGCCGACTTTAATGTGTTAGCAAAGTATAAAGGTTCTTGGATGGAATAAAGCATCTGAGTATTGAGTTATTCCATATTAAGATCAACATGATTAAGCTCACTTCCAGCCAATACTTGCTTGATAAAGGTTTCTCACAAAAAACGCTCTCCAATGTAAATTGTTTGTAATGAAATCTTTAAATCCGACTTGGACAGACTCTCAATAAAGTTGGAGAAGCCTTCAGGTTTATTCCCCCAGTCACTACAATTGCTTCTAGATAGCTCAACGGTTCATAGCTTTTCAATTGTAGTTCCTTTCAAGCATCTCTCAAGATCAATGACTTCGGTAAAACTGAGTTTACAGAATCGGATGCTTACATACTTAACATGCTTGACCAACATGAAAAATCTCTTCAACTGGGACCCACTGATTTTAAAAGAGTCAAGAAATATGCTTTCCAAAATTCTGTGGGAAACCGGAGATATTCTCAGAAGCAATCCGCCTACGGCTGCCAGACCTTTTGAACAAATAATCAAACTATTTATTGTAGGAGGAAACCATTCTTTGAAGAAATTGGAGTTTTCTTTGCTTCTACAGTATAGAATTGAAAAGCGAACTTTTCTCATAGGAGGAAGAGCTAAATTGCCAACCTTTGTAAGCATTCGAAAATCCAGATAATCTTTTATATTGTGAAATAGGACAGAATCTCTAGCAAAGGAGATTTCATATTCTGTATAGGTCTTATAAACATCATGCCAAATCTTTATTCGCCGCATTTCGACTTCCTTTTGATGTTGAGCTCATGCAATTCTCTCTAATTTCCAACTTATTCCAACTGCTTTGTTGTACTCTAAACAAATTAGAGAAATGTGTGTTGTTTATGGAATAAAGCCTCCACTATGATATTCTTCAAATGACTTTAAATGCCATAAGGGCTCCAAAGTTGGAAATACTATAACTGATTTTTTTGCTTTAAGCAAGAGAATTGTTAGATTTGTGGTTATTAATAAAAAAGTTTTACCTGTATCTTGACCCAACTTGGTCCCTCTATCAGTCTTGCATTTCTTCCCTCTCCAATCCTTTTCCAGGAGGACATTCAAAAGTGTTTTGAGGTGCTCAATTTTAGTCATCAGGGTGGGATCATGTTCAGTCATGCTTCCTCAGTCAGCCTGAGAGACCTCCTGTGTGATCTCAGAGAGTAATTCTTCTGCTTGAGTTATCTGATAAGACAAAATCTTTTCGTTGGTAACCAATAAAGAGGATAGAGTAGTATCAGGTTCTTGTCAGGCAAAGTTTAGAGATTTATCAATTGGCTCAAGTTTTTTAAATCTTTCAATATGAGTCTTCAAATCTGGGCTTCGTTCCCAAAGATTTTTGAGAAGTTTGTGTGACTTTATATTCTTCATCAAGATGTTTAGCGTCAATTTGAGATTCACGAATATTATGCATCTCAGAGCTCTGCGTATTCTTTGACTCCATTTTAATTTAATAATTATTCTTTTGGCTCTAAAGTTAAGATAATGCTGGGGTTTTGGGGTTTTGGGGTTTTGGGGTTTTGGGG